CGGAAGGGTTTGTGTGTGGTTTGCGTTGACATGAGTTTTAAGAGAGGTTTGACTTCAGAATCGACTGCTCTTCCGACGAATTGTTGGCCAAAACTCTTCAGAAGGAATTCGACCGACAATTCGATCACATATTGAAGAAAGAGGAGAAGAAAGTGAACCAAAACTCAAAGGTTTGAATGTCTAAACACTTGTCCTCTGACTCATGAATGGCTCCAAAGGTCGGCATTTCGTTTGATTTGTACCGAAGAGCGAAAGAGGATTCGGTGGACGACGAGGACGACGACGACTTCCACGAATACGGCGAAGAGTCGCAACACTGGGATTCGTTCGAGAAGTCGGAGCGACAGGCGGTGAAAGTGGGGAAACAGGGATTCGCGGTTCGCGACGGCGTTGTGACCACAAAACACGACTTGGAGACGAGTGCGCGCAAGAATGCGTGCAAAGCCATGGACTTCGAGCTGAAGACGGGCGACGGCGGCGGCTTCGACATGAAGCTCAGCAACAATGTGTTCAACGCTCTGAAAGTGCACTCAATTCAGTGAGAGATTTGAATTTTCTTGACGTGAAACTCATTATGCGTTCAGTGAAGGGAAGCGAAGGGCGAGATTGCACGAGAAGAAGGAGAAGTCGACGGCCGAGAAGGTGTTGGACGAGAAGAGTCGCATTCTGGTCTTCAAACTCGTCAACCGCGGGATTCTCGACTCCATCAACGGCGTGATCGCGACGGGCAAGGAATCGGTGGTTCTTCACGGCCGGGGATCGATGCCCGAGAAGGGGATCACGAGCTGCGAAGTGGCCGTCAAGATATTCAAAACGACGCTCAACGAGTTCCGGAATCGCGGCCAATACATCGGCAACGATCCGCTCCTTCACGCGACGTCCAAACTGTCGAAACAGAACGCAAAAGTGTTGATCCCGTTGTGGGCGGAGAAAGAGATGCATAATTTGGTGAATATTCCGATGCTGTCAACGGCTGTCAGTAATGTTTAACGCTCTTTAGAACCGAATCCGTCGGAACGGCGTTCTCTGTCCGGAAGTGTTGATTCTGCGGAAACACGTTCTGGTCATGACGTTCATCGGCAACGAGGGAAAGGCGGCGCCCACTCTAAAGGAGGCCATTTTGTCGGAGGAGAACCTGTCGAAGGCGTGGACACAATGCGTGCAAATGCTGTGCAAACTCTACGAAGACTGCGATCTGATTCATTCGGATTTCAGCGAATACAACCTGTTGTGGCACGAGAGCCGCGTTTGGTGTATCGACGTCTCGCAGGCCGTGCTCTCCACGCATCCAATGGCTCACAAGTTCTTGTGGAGGGATTGCAATAACATTCACAGAGTATTTGCGAACCCATTGTCAACACAAACACTAATCTCTGCTTTCGTGTAGTTCTTCGCGAAACGATGTTTACCCGAATTGATTTCTTCGTCCGAATTGTTTACAATGGTTTGCGGCAAACATTTGGACACGAATTGCAATGAATTCAATTCCGTCGACCTCTTGGACAAGGTTTGAGTGGTTTTGCGAAATGCAATTATTAAGACTTGTGTTCCACAGATGGATAATTACGACCGAAGCGAAGAACTCCTGAAATACGGTCTTTCGGAGAACGAAGACCCGTTTGAGGACATGTTGGAGAAGAGCGCCCGCGAAAGGGTCGACAAGTGATTAATTTATTTTTGCCAAAACTGAATAAACGTAATATAATTGGAAGCGATGTTGAGTTCATTGACTTTTGTGTTTGTTTCGCAAAACGGTTACAAAAAATTGTCTTTATTTAAATACAAAACCATTACTAGTTTTTTAACCACTAAAATGGCAGTAATTTTACACAATTTTCATCATATTTTACATCAATTAACGTAAAAAAGTTATTCGACATCGAATTCAATAAAATGTCTTTCAATGTTATAAAAAATCGGAATCCGTTTAGAAAACAGTTTCTCTTATTAGCTATGAATGAGTTCTCAATAATAAAATCGAATTTTAGAAAACAAGTGAAAAAAGAGCGAATAATGTGTAATACAAATGTAATCATAAAAATTGTTCCATTGGTGGGAAAAGAGTGGAAATAAATTCATTTCAAAGTTGTGGAAAAAACAAATATAATTCTCAGTTATTATCACTTCTCAGAACAGAAAAGAAACGTTAGATTCGAGGCTTATATGTGAGCGTAATATTCATTTGTTGGACATCTCCGTCGACGCCCTCAGACTCGGAGCACATCTGAGTCTGAGCGCCGACCAATTGGTTTGCATCAGAGTTGGCGGCACCGGTGGGCGACACCTGATACGCGCCCGAGTGCTGCTGTGCTTTGTGTTCGTTGCCGTTCTCCTTGTCCTTCTTGGAGGACGAGCGCCGCACCAAATGCTTGTCTTTGGACGACGTCCTCCGCACCAATTGCTTCACTGACGAGCCGGCGATCGACTGATCGGCCCTTCGGTTATTCGCCGTTGCGGTCGACGCGGAGGTGAATGAGTGCGAGGACGAGACGCCATCTGTGGGAGAGGGGATCAGTTAGGCGAAGAATATAATAGCGGCAATACTGACCACTGCTGGGGTTGAGGAACCATTCGGAACGAGTTTTCATGCGTTGAGTCTGTCTTTCGTGAACTATTGGCAAAAATGTGAGCGATTTTGTACTTTCGGCGTAACGGTTGACAGATTTGAGATCTTCTAAGTTGAGCGGCTCTTCGGTGACCATCGCTTGTGATATCTGTTGATTGTTTTGATGCATCATTACTATTGTCTGCGGAGAATTGGGCGACGAATGCGTCGACTGAAGAGTAAATTGCGATTTAACCACAAATGAACGAAAGACTGGTTCGGAAGACAAACCTTGAAAATGGTCTCTTCCAACGACATGGAGAGTCGTGCGTACGAGTCGTCAATGGTTTGGTGCATCATTTGGACCGGAGTTAAGTGTTGTGCCGCCATTGGTGTCGAACCGGTGGTGCAGAGAGCGGGAGTACTTTGACATTCGTCTGTAGAAGACATTGCTGTCAAGCATTTCATTCAAATTACAAACATTTCAATCAATTTTGTTCGTCAGAGAGAAAGAGAGGGAAAGAGCGCACAGACAGACAGATCGCGCGAACCTTTGAGTGGTCGTGTTGTCGCCGGCAGACCCCATGTTTGCGATTGAGACTTACTGTTCAACCAATCACTGCGCGACTCCAATGAGGTCTTGCCTTTTGTTAGTGTTATTTAGAGAAAGATTTCCAGAGAAGAGAAACGTAAGAAAGAAGAGGAAAAACAAAATCGGATTGAATGCGAAGACATACGTGTGTTGTGATGGGAATCGGGCGGGTATTTGAAAGCAAAGATCCAGTTCTCCTCCACTTTGAGAACGCGACCAGAAATTCGGGCGTAATATTCGTAATTATCTCTTCCGAAGAGATTACTCACACCGAAGTTGTCGATCAGAAACTTCATGATAGTTGTGGCCACCTATTGGACAGACAACGAAACCAATGGTCAGTTTGGGATCGAGTTTAAAACACTTTGAGTGAAGAGTTCAGGCATTCATGCGTTAATATTTCGATTGACATGAAAAACGACAAAATATTTCAATGTTTAGAAATGTATTTTTAAGAGCAATAAATAGAGTGTAAAAGTTGTGCAAAATGTAAAAGTGTTGTGAAGTGACGAATGCATGCATTAATGAAAGCAAAACACAGTTTCAGTCATTCGTTGAAGCGTTCGTTGAACTCTATGCCAATTGACAAGAGGTTCAAGGAATGACTGAAACGCAAACCCAGTGTTTCTCCGAATTAGCATTCAATCCAAAAACCAATAAATAAGAGTAATTAAGAGGTCAGAGGTCAGACTTACCGCGATTTGTGCCTTTATTTGTGAGAGTTTAGGTATTATTTGCAATGCAATTAGTGGTGATTACAATGAATGATAAAATGGGTTAATATTAATATGCATTGAATTGTTGTATTAATTGTTTAAACGAATTACGAACGAAGAAACGATAAAACTTAGGAAAACTTAATCACAGAATTCAACGAAAATTAACGGTTAATAAAATGAGTGAATATTTGTGAGATTTGAGCGCATTTTTAATCCGTATTTTCACTCCTTTCCAAACAAAACCTCTCGAAACACAAATGCATGCAAACAATGGCCGAACCATACCTTGAATCTGCGGACGTCGTCCATTTTGGCGAATTTGGTGCCGTCCTGAACGCACGACTGGAAAAAACTCGGCGCAACCGACACTCCGATCGCCTCCGACGTCATAGCAAACAATGGCCGAACCATACCTTGAATCTGCGGACGTCATCCATTTTGGCGAATTTGGTGCCGTCCTGAACGCACGACTGGAAAAAACTCGGCGCAACCGACACTCCGATCGCCTCCGACGTCATACCAGTGTTCGCCCGTTCAGAACATGTGGCCATCGCTCGGAATGTGCCGAACAGAAGCACCAGAAGGTGTTGAGTGACGACTGGCAGTGACGTCAGAATCCTAACGGACACAGAGCGTCACCAAAAAGGTCGGCAAAGAGAGAGAGAGAGACAAACCTGTGAACCTCTTCCCGCTTCTCTTCGACGCTCTCCCATCCGATGATTTGAAACAATCGTTGCTCTCTGTCGGCGCCAAACACTCCCGACGGCAACTTTCGCAGGAATTTCTTCAGCACCGAAGCGATTGTATAGACGGAGTAGTTGTCAATATTCACCAAACGACCCGTCTTTACGCGCAGAGAGACACAGAGTTCAATACAGAGCATACATTGCATTGGGAGTCAAACCTGGAGGAAGTGGATCAGCTTCTTCATGTTGGCCTGATGTCCGGGCGCGCGGAACACGTCCTTCTTGAAGGGCGCCTCTTTGTTAAGCTTGAGAATCATGACGAGA